CAATAATGAATTTGACAAACAATCTCTATTCCTTTCTAGATTCTGCAGTACAACCACGACACTGTCTGTAGCGTCTAGTCACACTGGTCGGAGTTCCGTTTTTTCCAGGTCAAAAGACAAAGTAACAGCTCAAACAGTCTGTAGCAATTGACACTGATGGCTGATGCCTAGGACAACACGGCAACGTGCTGTCGAAAAGTCGCTTCTTCGCAGGCATGTTGTACCGAATTTATACCTGGCTGCCGGAAGTTTCGCACATCGGCCACGGGCCATGGCGCCACCGGGCTGCGTTCCAACTGCATACCTCGTGCTTCATTTTGCTAGCCAAGGCCAAGGCGAGGGTGGATGCGTGGCGCCGGCGTGATTCTGTGATCGTTCTGAAGGCCGATGCAGCAATGATCACGTAGGAAGTTTGCGCCGCAAAAAGAGTCTGAAGCTGGTGAATGCGTGTTACCACTTACGCAAAGCGGGCTGTCAATTCCACACCATCGGGGAGATAAATTCCGATTTGTTGTTATCTGCCGAATTACTAAGCCCGAGCCAATGATGTCACACAGAAAGTCGAGGATCGGCCGGAGAGGTAGATGTTCCGCGCTTCGTGTAACTGTTACGATAATTTAGTCCAAAGCCATGGGCAGATAGACGGGTCGACTATAATGAAGGTCGCACTATATGCAAGGCGCTACTGACAATAAGGCGATGATTACATTGGAAGACATTATCATCATCGATAGAAGCACAGTGCTGCGGTAGTATCCTGGGGCGAACAAGAATCTTCGTTCACTCCTTATCATGCCGCGAGCATCGTTTCCTAAATTGCCCCTACATGTATCAACCGCAACCCAGTGTCTCAGTGTTGCAATCATTTGAACAGTATGGGAACATGTAGGCTTATAGTGACTGTTGTAGTCAGGAGTACTGCTGTGTGCCCTCCGCCATGTACATGTATCAGCTGCCTACGTTCCGAAGTCCGAACTGAGACAGGTCTGTTCCATCAGTGTTCGGACGGTGCGTGCACTGACAGAAATGCATGCCTTGCTTAGTTCTTGCTTAGTTCTTGCTTAGTTCTTTGCTTTGGCAAGTGATATTATACAGTAGCGATGGACAACATGCTTCCAAAGTGTGAAACATGACACAGAACATTAAATGTTCTGTATCATTTCGTGCTGCTAATTAGCTAAGGTGATGTTACACGCGGGACAGCAGGGAGTACTAAAAAGGGTTTCAGTACGCCCCGCGCTGGACACCCCCAGTTGGACAGTGCTTCACTCTCGCTACTCTCTCTGAGATCGCGTTTGGACTTGACATACCGGTAGGCGCCGCTTTAGAGTTGAAGCTTGATCTACAAGTACAAGTCTTACCGGTTGGCGAGTTCACTTGGAAAGTCCCGTCGACTTTTCCTCAACTCTGAGTTACTCCATATTCAGTCTATAACTAGTAAAACTGAATTGGTGAAAATCATGT